GGGGGGGGCAGAAAGGCCATAGCAACAAAAGTAAACAAACTATACCAAATGATTGGGGCCGTAGGGGTAATAGCTCAACAACAAGAATATCAATATCACTGACACCAACACGGTTTCTTTTATCACATATATATATATTTTGAATATTGTGTGCGTCTGTGCGTAGCTTTTGATAGATACAAAACGCTCTGACTACAGTCAGCTCTACTCTGACACTAAGACTCTAATAAACTCACTGTTTCCTGACAGTGTCATACACATTGTTTCCTGTTAATTAAATTATGCTATTGTGCATTGTTCATCAATGGTTCATTGTATGCTTCATGTGATCATCACGTGCAACACTCGTGCATATAATTCTAGTGTATTATTTCCGTGTATAACAATATGGTTTGATTGCGCCAATAATTGCGTGAATGCGCACCAAGATATTTTGCGATTATATTTTATTAAATTTGAATAAGAACGTAGACTGCAATTACCATGTACTTTAATATACAGCCAATAATAGGAAGAGCAACATAAACAGTGGACAAAGTTGGACATCAGCAAAATGGTTTCTACGATTCTTAACATGGCATCTTAGAGCCAAGTGTATGGGTAAACACGAATATGTATTTATAAAGCATAATTAAGCTTACCTTCTACAATTGTACTGAATCTTGATCCAGTTCGTGTAACATAGTACCTTTTACTTTGACCTTTGAGGATAGCCCGGACACAAAGGGAAGAATCCACTTCAGTACCGAACTGCTTCCAGCGAGATAGAGGACAAGTATCAACCGTCTTTAGATCCATATACTTTGTGCCAAAATTTCGCACCCTCTTATTGGTATAAACTAGACACGTGGGTTGGCATGTGCATGACATATTTTCAAATGTCATGGTACGGAAGGGTACTGATAAACTGGTGTCAAATTAAAACAGGAAATATGATTATATAAAACATTCTTTAATTCATAAGGTTTTTTTTGCAAATCATGTCAACCAAATCATGTCAACCATAATACGTGTATGTTACGTGAAATGGTTTCATACCCGATGAACATGTACATGAAGTATATCGTATACACAGCAAAAAATCACTTTCTTATTTTAAGAAAAAAAAACCACTTATTTTAGGAAAATTTTTTTAAAATAAGTCAAAATTTTCTTGGCAGACTGATAAGAAAATTCTCTTACAAAATTTCTTAAGACTATATTTCTTAACCCTTTAAGTGTCAAAAGTGACCTGAAAATAGACATATAAATCCAATTAAACCGGAAAATTTTTTTTTCATGATATTTGGGAGGGTCAAATAATTTGTTGCAGATATGCAACATTGCTGCGAAAGGGTCAAAAAAGGTAAAAAAAAAAACTAGAAGATCTATTTTATTGAAAACTTGATACTTTTGTTGATTGTATTGTACCAACACCCCCAAAAATACTTTCCATACATTTATAGAGTTTTAAACATATTATTTACTATAGTATAATACAAGTATAAGATAAGTTATATATAATAGCAGCATTAGAAAACGGCTATATAATAATTATTTACAATGGTAGTCAACAAAACAGTTTTTCCCCTCTCTCAAGCAAAGGCAAATATTACATTTGGCACAAAATATTTTTGAATATCCATCTTTGCAGTGGCGACACCGACTACGGCTATCCTTTGTGGGTTTTGGCCAATGTCCGAGTTGGTCGAAACGCGAGTCATTACATGGTGAAGGTGTGGTGGGTTTTCGGCCAACCTTTGCCACTCGTGATGTTTCTTGCTCTGAACTCTTTCTGTTGGTGGGTCTGCCAGGCTTTCCATTGGAGGTTTCAACAGGAACTTGCTTGTTTGCATTTATCAACCCTTCTGCAATTTCAAGGATGAAGTCGACCAACGGCAATCTTCGCTTATTTGGGATTCCCAAGGTTTTACAGTGTCTGCGATACAATAGCCAGGCATTTACTTTTGCCATGTCAACCAGATGCCAAAAGATCTTTATGTACCATCTCTTGGTCTTGGTGCGGATTCGGTACAAGGATATTAGCATATCAGCCTTATCGACACCTCCCATCGACTTGTTATATCGCAAGATGAGCTGTGGGCACTGAATCTTCTTCTTCTTCTTGTCTTCTGGGCACCACCTCTCAACTGAACCTAGTGGCTCCACACCAACTAAATTGGAGGCAACATGAACAGCATTATTGTCCAGCCACTTGACAACAATTATCCCCTGTGTTGTGTCGGACTTGTAATCCGTGGTTCCGCGTCCAGCTTTCTTCATGTATTTGTTCGACTGTAGTGAGCAACCCTGTAATCGATTGGCGCGAACTGTACCACATGCTAATATGCCCTTATTTTTCAAGTAAATAAGCAAATCCATGGTGGTAAACCAATTACCAAAAAATAATTGACGACTGCTGTTCGATGGCAAATGCTGACAAAGTCGCCCAACAACTTGAGCAGACTTTTGCAAGTGCTTGAAGTCAGCATTCTCGTCCATAGTCGCATCTTTACCGGCATAGATGTAGAAGTCATACATGAAGTCAGAAGCACCAGCCCTGACCAAATTCTTAAAACCCCAATTTACATGCTTTTTGGGGTTATAATGGCGAATCCCGCTATACTTTGTTTTTGCAGGAATAATCTGCTCGTCTACGGAATGACTCTCTTCCGGCTTAATCTTCACACATTGTTCACGGAAAATGTCAATTACTGGTTGAATCTTAGCCAGTTTAGAACTATTTCCCTCTATCAAACTATTGTCTACAAAATGAAGATTTGATCTAATTTTTTCATACCTTTTCAAAGGCATTATGTCAGCTACAGCAGGGAATCGCACTTTCTGAGACCAATACATCTTGTACGACGGAATCTTTATTGTACCCATCTTCAGGTGCATGCCGGTAAGTTGTTCGGCTTCTTGCTTCGTAGTGTTGATTGAAGGGCCCGTTTGCTGTGTGCTATACAGGTTTGTTTGTTGCACAACCAAGTCAATGACTTCATCAGTCCAAAACTGTCTAAAATATTCAAGAGGCGACTTGGTTTCTTCAATGTTGTCTACTTCGGGACTAAACCTTTCATCAGATGTTGGCAGGTCTTTTGATCTCCACCGAAACTTGATATTCTCATCAGGATTTGGTTGTGGCACACTTTCATCTCCAGTATCATCACTTCTATTATCATCACTAGTATCATCACCATCATCATAGGGCACAACATCTTCATTATCATCAATATCTTCATCAGAGCTTAGGTCTTCTAATTCTGACACATTTGATAGCCCAAACAGCTTAAATTATAAAAACATCTCAGTACATGACATGGTCCATACAACCATGCAGACCTCATTCAAACATATACCGGTCAAAACGACCTCTAGTGTAATAAATACTAATACCCCAGTAACTACAGGTCTCGATCACCTCATAAAGTATTCTGTGGTCAACACAACCTGTCACTTGCTAGTCCAAACGACATATAGCAAAGTTTATAGTCAGCACTAAAATTAGTGCACTTTAGTCTACAGGTCCAAACAACCTCAGTAGATTTTTCAATGGTCCAAACGACCTTATGGGTACTATGGTTCACACGACCACTGTAGCCCAAACAGCTTAAATAATAAAAACATCTCAGTACATGACATTGTCCATACAACCATGCAGACCTCATTCAAACATATACCTGTCAAACCGACCTCTAGTGTAAATACTAATACCACAGTAACTACAGGTCTCGATCACCTCATAAAGTATTCAGTGGTCAACACAACCTGTCACTTGCTAGTCCAAACGACATATAGCAAAGTTTGTAGTCAACAGTAAAATTAATGCACTTCAGTCTACGTAACCTGAAGTTCAAGCCCTAATCACAGAATAGGGCCTGACACAAAACCTATCTAAACTGGGATTCCCGTCCATCTGGTGGACGGGAAATCTGATTGGTTGATCAGCATCATGAAAGATTTTGATTTGTTGCAAGTTCACATAAACAACAGTTTTAAAAATAGCTCGGTCAAGGTGACAATTAATACATAAAAGGTCAAACGCACGTAACAAATTCCAGTATCAATTTCTTCGAATTTCTTTTCTTTTATGCTTTATGGCAGAAAATAAATCAAACAAACAGTATTTTGAAAGGGCTTTATCAAAATTGTTGACGAATTTTGAACACACGACGCTGAAAGAACAGCCAAACTAGTCATGTATTCGAAAGCTTGTTGTTGACAGCCAAGATGTTCTGCCAACTGTCTTCGCCGGCAAAACTCTTATTTTTAATATCAGGTCGTGCCGGCGTTGTTTTCTGAGCTACATCGCCTTCTTCGTGGTACGATTGAGAATTTCATTGTTGCTGTTGTTAGCCCGTAACTGCCCGTTAGAGCATATTCGCGTCCAGCAAGTTGAGACCTTGAGAAAGCTTGGCAGTCAAACCGTGTACAGAACAGAACTGACTAATAAATAGAGAAACTGACTCTTTAATAATTATGTAAAAGTACCGTGAATTTTTAAGTTTAATTAAACTAAGCAAAATACAAACTCTGCGGACATGTTCATGAGAATATAATTTTTTTGTGTATCGAAATCTAGTAATCTACAACACTTGTCAATCATATTGCATGCTGTGTCTAAAAATAACATGTGGGCGTCCCATGGTCTAGAGAGGTTTTGTGTCAGGCCCTATTTAAAATTAGGGCCTGAACTTCAGGTTACAGTCTACTGGTCCAAACGACCTCAGTAAATTTTAACGGTCCAAACGACCTCGTGGGTTCTATGGTCCACACAACCTCCCACCAAAACATTACTCACATCGTACTTGGAGAGCCTGCAGCTCGAAAGGCGGCACACTCGCAATAAATATATTATTCAACAATGACCTGAGATGAATATGCCATTGAATCATTTCATTCATTTGTATGTATGTATGAAGTTCCAGACAACCTGTCACAAATGAGTTTCAACTGCCCTCTTTGTTGATCAGCTGCTTCTCGCTTTCTCCTCATTCCGCAACGACTTGCTTTCTTTTATTGCCCTCTTTATCCGTCTTTCATCTTCAGAGTCACTAGCTAAGGCAAATAACATTCAGCAGTGTCCCATCCATATTTATCAGCAAGTAACAAATGTTTGTTTCGTTCCATCAGTAACCTTCTACATGTGCTGATTTCCTTGGACACTTCGTCTAGATCATCCGAGGCCAGCGCGCGATCCATTCTCTGCATGACTGACTGACTGATTGACATCGTATTGTTTTTTATTTCCTGCGTAGCCAAACTCGTGCTCGACGGCCCTTGCTGTTGTCGAAGAACCTTCACTTGGTTTTCCCGCGACCTGTGACTTCAGCTTTTTCAAATCGTCTGCGTTTTTCCGTTGTTGACAAAGCAGTTCTTTTGCCCACCCTGGCGGTTCCCTGGACGTCGAATGCGACCGGTGCGAACGTTTCCTTCGAGTACTTCTTGCTCGAGAACGCGATCGGCTTCGACTCTCTTCACGCGCATTTTTTCTACCACTTCGACGAGAACTACGGCTTCGATCTCCCCTCTCTCGACCACTACTAGACTTCGATCTACGCGAAGGACTTCTTGATCGTCGGCGATCCTCACTTTCGCGTACACTGCGCCGAGCACTACCAACATTTTTATCGGCTGGGTTGTCTTCTGTTGACGAATGGCCCACATGGCCGCGAAAACTTTCCTCGTTAATATTTGGGCTAATCAAATGTGCCTCGAGCCGTTTTAAGGCTCTTGACGACCTTTCCGTTGGTTTTCTACGTTTATCCATGGCTTTCGTGAAAAAAATAGGTTAAATAGCCTCTATAAATTTAAATAAATCGCGAGCGAAAAAGAATACTGTAAAGCTACGTTGAGCAACAACAAGAATATGCTCAACTAACCTGCACCACCCCATAACACCCTGATTTCATCAGGCCCCCAGCAGTGTGTGAGAAAACATTTTCCGCTTCTTTCGTGCCTCAGCCAGCAGAAAATAACACTTATGCATAAAATAACTAATATGCCAGGCAGAAATTAAATGTTCTTATTTCCCAAAAAAGTTATCATCAGGATTGTCATAATGATTGTCATTGTTTTCTTTATATTATATATAATACACTTTATTTCACTTTAAACACTATTTCAGCCATATTTTGCCGTCTTGTTTGCTTTTTATCGCCGAATTTGGCAAATATCCAGTTGTTGCACTTTTACATAATCATAAATGGTTGAAGAAGATTTCAAAGGAGGTTTCATTTTGTCTGCGTCGTTGAGTTAAAAAGTTTCTTTGTTGCGCTCGTGTCGTGAGTCCGAACATGTGTAATTTTGGCTCATTTGGCCATCTTTAGGGACTCCTCGAATTTCTTGTTCCTAGTTGGTCTCACACGATGGGCTTTTTTCGCGTTTTTGTGCTGAACTGGCATTTCCTCGTCTGATGAGCTGCATAGAGCTGCATTTCTTGCTCGATGCCAAGAACGTTCACTCATGAACGGACCAGCATCATAGTGACTTGTGTCAATGGAGCCACTCCTCTGAAACTTCGTTGTCGTCGCAGTATTCTACCTTTCTGTGTCGCTATTTGTTCGTGATGGTTTTCCCGTATGAGCTACAGTTGTAATAATAAAACACAAAATTAAAATCTTTATCATTATATCTATTTCCTACAAGCTTCATTGTGTCCGCGATGATGGCTTTGGAGGGGTCTGCGTCACCAGCACGACGAGCATCCGACACGGCGTCTCCGAAAGGTTTAAAACATGGCTTAGGGGTATATTCCATTACCTGATAGATACGTGTAACCTAGAAAATAATGTACCATCTATTAGAGACTTTCTCTTACTGTTAAAAGGTTTACAATACTTAACACACACACCTAAACCATGTTCCAAATACCACTTTAGGAGAGGGGTCGCCAGCAGGATTTTATCCCCTTTCATACTTCCAATGAGACTTCGCCGGGGCTGGTACATGACGTTATTTTCTTCGGCGTAGCTCCTCATGAGCTCACCGATGTCTTCTCGACGTATTTCTATATTCTTGAAGATGAGGCACATCTCTTTGAAATGTTCTCGCAAACTCTCTGGTACGTGGATATCACACTCCACACAACCAAATAGTTTATTGTTCTTCACAGCGTTGATGATGGACCGTGTGGTCATGGTTTTCACTTTATCTAGGGATCGACGTAGATGGGTGGCGATGAATAGTTGCAGCGCACTGTTTCGTTTCTTCATATCTCGCCACTCACATTGCTTATCATTTCTCATGTTGTCAACAAAATGCAGGAATCGTCACAGCTTTTCAAACCTTTTTCTTGGCATTATATCTGCTATTGATGGGCAATTGGTTATTGCATAGATTAGCAATCACCGATAAACATCAGAGCAACAGTTTCTTGCTCAACATATGTAAATTGAGGACATCTGTCCCAAATAAGTCCGTTCAAACATTCATGCGCGTTTGGCGTCATGCCATGGGTACACTTATTCAATAAGTCACGCTTACTTACATCATCAAAAATGGGCTTCACAATGCATGCTGGAATGCCATTCCTGTACAGGTTTGTAATTATCCCTATCACTTTTGTAGCCACACCAACTGTCCTCTTCTTCTGGGCAGAGACCCTGTTGACTCAACATGGTAAATTGATGCTTCTATGGCCTTAGCCATTTCATCCACATCGTTGAATTTTCTCGCTCTGGTAAGCCATAATAGTTCTGCAGAATGCAGAATATCTATTTTGCTATCTATTTTACTCCTTTGCTTTGATTCTTCAGTTTCCGCAACCGACCACCAACATTTTTTTGGACATGTACAATGCACTCCATTTTATTGGGTATGCATTCATCTCCATATCGCTTGTTTTCCACAATTGCTTATAAGGATGAATCTCCATCACCGAGCATGTTCTTATACTTGCCCTCTTGTGGCTAATAACCAATTGAAGATCCGTAATGCACCAGTTGTCTCCATGCTGTTCGCACTTCCAAATGGTTAATTTTGCAGTTGTGCGAAGCTTTCCATTCTTCATATCTTGGGTCATTTTTCTTCTTTTGCCACCTGGGTCATTCCATGTGAAAATCAACAAATAAAAATTCAGAATGACACCCACTCATCTCAGATTTTAACCAAAATTGCACCAACTGGAGGTTTTAGTGAGATATGAAAGCACACCAAATTTTATCCCAATATCTTTGTTTGTTCCGGAGATATTGTCATTTCAAGTTTTGCAATCAATCAATCAATCTATTTATTAGCACCTGGAAATTTACATATAACTTCTCTTCATTAAATATGGCATAATATAAAGGTGCAAGCTAACTGTAATAACCTTGTAGGGTTAGACGAGACAGCTAGATTGTAATTTATTATATCGAGTGGTGGGAGAATACTTTTATATAATGTAGATATGCGAAATTGTCCACTTATCATTAACCTCTCTCATACAGGTTGCACCAAAACCGGTGTCGGTTACAGTAATTTAGCGTTTTGTATTAATGGTACACAAAAGTGCATGGTATTTCGACTGTCGTTTTTTGTCCTTTAACCCGATGGGCAGGAAAACTGGTGATCTACCATTTTAAGACATGGGGAATTAGAATATGATTTCAAAACTACCATCCTTGATCAGAAATGCTCATTTTCTATGTTTGAAACAGACAACTAAAATATAGATTTTCCGAAACTAGAAAAAAGTATCTATTACAAGAACTTGTTCAACACTGTCAGTATCTTATTTAATAATGCTTTACTTAAATGTTATATGCTACCTCTGAGTTATTCAGCTAGCGTTTGTTCAATTATGTTGATGTCTTTGTCATCCAGCTTGTACTGTCTCCCTGTTGCATGACAGGTGCTCCAATGATGCAGGCAACATTCACAATGGGGCACAAAACATGTATCATTTGCAGGCACAAAACATGTATCATCTTTCTTTGACCAGGAGAAAGATCTTGCTGGGTAGCTTGGGTGCATGCATTTGACTTTAACATCATCATGTTCTTTATCCATTGCATCAACGAGTCCAATCCAGTATTTCTTACCATAGGAGCAAACAACAAAGTCAGATACCTTTGGATCTACCAGGTTTGTCTTCCCCAACACCAGATTAAACTCTAATGCATATTATTCGTCTTCTGAAACACGTTTGGCTGCCATTACACTCTCAGAGAGGGGGACAAATTGATGAAAGCTCCTTGTGCCAGGCAAGAGTACTTGCACTGCTGAACCTTTTCTCCAACACGCTCCTGACAGGAACCATCTCTTCTGCTGAAATAAAGTTAACATGAACCCCCTTGATTTCTTCTTTACAGTACTCAAAAACTTGCTTTGCAGTCAAAATTGGACGTGAGTGTGTCCTCTGTAGACTTGCTCTTGCTGTTAATTGCTTCAGTGTACCTCCAAGTCCATCGCACGGAGATTTGCCATGGCTTGTAGCGAAGAATAAGCAATCACATTTCACATTGAAGTCCTTTTCGTGAAGGCACAAGTTGATGAAATTCTTGTAGTTCTTGTATTGTCCAGCACAGCCATCGCTAAAGTAATGCATCATACTCAGTGCCATAAAAATCTCCTCCTTGACATGTTTTACAGTTTTCTTTAAAACTTCATAGACAAAACATGTATCATGATTCAAATCATCCGAGATGAAACAAAGATATTTCTCTGTAAGTTTATTTTCTTTGATATAGTACAAGACAATTAGACGTAGGGTACACGACTGCTTATTCCAGTGAAATCCTTCGATTTCATCTTGAATTATAAATTGATAATTCTTTGCAAAATCTCCCAAACCAATCACCTCATTCTCTTTCAGTTCCTCCTTACACTTCTTGAGATACTTTGCCTGAGATTTTGCAATGTAAGAATGAGCTGTGAGAGTGTTAAGCTTCTCTATAAGGTTGGAAATGAAATCTGCAACCGGAAGGATCTGCTCGACTAACTCTGAGCGGTCGACAGTTGTCCATTCTTGGAATTGTATGGTGAGTGGTTCATCATCCTCATCAATTTCAGGTTGGAGTTGTTGAAACAAGTAGTTTTCCAGATTTTGAGTGTCAGCTGGGCAGTTGGGACAACGGTGAATCATTCACTCTTTGGAATCTCTGCTGCACACTATCATGTCCATAAGCTCATGGTAATTTTTGTCAAGGTTTACTGCACCAAGCATCAAAACTACATTTTGATGAATGGTACACACACAAACAGAATGGGTTCCTGAACATCCAACCAACACACACCGTTTTGGTTTCACACTGCAAAACTTTGAAAATCCTACTTTTAGATCTGGATATTTCTGTTTGAATGTAGCGTATAGTTCTTTCAAGTCACAAAGCAACATTTTTTTGCTTGTGAACATTTCTTGCAATGCTAACACAATCCTTTTTGCCTGGCATAAGTCTACTGTAGTCATCGTAGCAATAAAAATCAACAACACATCTTTTTGTTTCTTCAGATAAAGCTTCTCCTTTCTTTGGTCCTGGTAATTCCAAAATACCCCTTTCCTTCACTAATTTTCTTGCCTGCCTGACCATGTAAGCAGAAACGTTAAATTCATTTTTAGTTTTTTCAATGGACCAAGAAGGTGGAGCAATAGTCAGTATTTGTATTTTCTGTCTTCTGTTAAAGGATTGTATCGGCTTTTTCCTTTATTTCTTTGTAATTCTCAGGTTAACTGTTCTTTGATAGTTCTAGATCTTCTGACATAACATCAATAACTTTGGCAACTCGTTTCTGTATTGTGGTTTCTTGATCTTTCAGTTTATTGTGAAATTGCTGTAGTTTGCGTTTACCTAAAGTGACTTTGGAATGAGAAGCAACACCACGTAGTTTCACTTGACTCAAACCCATCTCTTCAAAACTTGTGTCAAGGTCATGCTTCAAGGACATTTCTTCATTGCTCCCAGAAGACATAGTTTCTACATCAGTTTCGTTTCCCATATGTGAATCAGATTCATCTACAAACTGCTGATCCTTCTTATTCGATGCGGCCTCCAGGTTACTAGTATGTTCTTTGCGACAATTTGGGCATGTCTTTTTTCCAGGAATTACTGAAATATTTATGCCATTAAAATCTTATCAGTGTTCAAAGACACTTCTCGCAATGAACCCTTTATTGGTTTTTGGTGTTTTTCAAATGGGTTGCAGCAGTGTCTTTGGTACTGTGAATATCTTGTAAGAACTGTCTGCTCATGATGCAGACAAATTTCATGTTCAGGACTGTTTGAAATTCCTGTTCTCATTGATATTAATTTGACCTGCTCTGCTGTTAAAATGCTGAATGATTTCAGGCCGGTTAACCTTGTATGAACACAGCCTCGTCCCCAGGCGCTTTGATTTGCTGCGCCGTTTCGTGAGAAATGGAAATTTGGACGGGAAGCGCCTGACAGAATTTGCATTCAAGATGGCGGATAACTGTTTCGCAACAAAAAATAAGGATTTCAACGAAGATCTTGACGAAGATGTGCCTTTAATAACCTCTGGACTGGAATGGCCAGTCCACGATATTTCTAGAGCTGAAAAAGAGTTGCAGTTTTACTCAAATTGTGTTAATTAATATTATAGCTATTATTGTAAATGAATTTTTGAAATTCCTATAACGTGCAATTCTTGCCC